ATATATATATATATATATATATATATATATATATATATATATATATATATATATATATATATATATATATATATATATAATATATATAACAATTCAAGTTTTCTTTATATAATATAGAGTGCTCAATACTTTATTGTAGAGCTAAATTTATTTAATTTTTTATGAAATAAAGTACAAAACAAACGTTGTTACTCAGAGTTTCATGCCTGAGTTTACAGACAATCTTCGGACAACTAAAGTTCTGTTAACTAAATTTGACGGTTTGGTTTTGTTTGCTTGCGCATGCATGATTGCGCACGTTGTTCGATTGCATGCGAATGTATTTTCCCGCCAGAAATTGTTTCTGATGGACGCAATTCGAGAATATTTCACTTCTTTTGTTGAGCAGCGAGTTCTTTTTAAATTTCATGATGAAAAGTTTTTCGTCGCTATACAAACTGCACTGATTACGTCCCGATCTGTATGCACTCGAATGTTTTAAGATGGTCCATTTAATTTTGTATGGGCGATTGCTTTTCTTCAAACTCCGTATGTACTTCGACAATTCAGTGTCGTTAGCATATACGTAGCGATGTTGAACGATTTTTGGTGGTTTCTAAAACGTTCCTTGAAAGTTGTAGCCGTAATTCCAATATAATGCCTTGTTTCTCCGTTGTCCGCTGCTGCGATCTTTGCATGGTAGACAATGCCTTTGGTTATATACTATATCTGGGTGTTGAAAGTCATGTGACCGGCCGGTGCCAGGGCCTTTTCCCGCCTTCCCAATGACAAAAAGGGAAAAGCCCTGGGAACGAGGTTGACTATTTAGCTCAACAAATGAAAATCGATTTTTTCAAATGATTCCATGTGTACCCCCCCCCCCTTAATTTCTTACCTCATATATATATGAGTTACATTGTTTTATTCATTGCTTACTATAGTGGACACTTAATAGGGAATCTGCACTCGACTTTTGCTCCATTTGTTTCAAGTGATCATTTTGTTGTAATAACGAAAAAAAATGCAGTTCAACAATTAAATACTTACTGGCTCTTAATTTCTTACTTCTCATAGGTCACATTGTTTTATTCATTGCTTACCATAGTGGACACTAGACACTTAAGGTCAGGGTCAGCCATGGGGTTTTGGGTATACAGGATCTGATGGGTATATACTGTATATATTTATTTAAATGTTATGACTAATTTTGGGTATTAGGTATACAGCTTCTGGTTGCTTTAGGTATTTGGGTTTTGGGTATACAGGATCTAATGGGTATTTAATTCGAGTATACTGTATATTTACTTAAATGTTATGACTAATTTTGGGTATTAGGTATATACAGCTTCTGTTTGCTTTAGGTATTTTGTAACATTTTGACCGTAATAATAGATATTTTGATCCATATTTATCAGGTATTTAGGATACCACGACCTCCCCCCCCCCACCCTGGCTGACCCCTATATAAGGAATCTGCACTCGACTTTTGTTCATTTTGCTCCATTTGTTTCAAGTGATCATTTTGTTGTGATAACTAGAACGAATGTTAGATCAGTTCAGCAATTAAATGCTAGGCTCTTAATTTCTTACTTCTCATACAGTTACATTCTTTTATTCATTGCTTACTATAGTGGTCACCCAAGGCAGCAAATGATGGTTGCTCCATTTGCAATTCACAAGACACAGCGGAATCTTGGTTGCTTACAAAATTCCAGCAAGTTAAGGAGTTCATTAAGTCAGTACATGTAAATGTCAAAGTGTACAGACCTGAATGTGGATTGTGCAAAAACCAGGATGTAAAAGTTTATATTTTATACAAAGCCTTGCCAATTGGACAGGAAGGACTAAAAGAAGCTGTCGGGATTTTAAAGAGTCTGACGTTGGTGGCAACTCTAAAAGCCCAAAAGGACTTAACAGACAAAATTCATCAGTTTCATTTTGAACCTATGGCATCACAATTCTCCATAGCGTTTCTCTCTGCAGGTAGTTGTACCCTGATTAAAGATATCACATTATCCTATTTCGTTTGTGACAAAAACACTGGCGCTGGGGTTAATCTGCCCCGAACAGCTGCTCCAGATAATGGATCACAAAGAGTGAACTTAAGCTGTTCTGAGAACACACTAAATCCAGGTAATGAAGAAGTATATGGGTTGTGCTCCAGTAAACGAATATGGAAGATAATATCACCATGCATCTGTAAGAAAGGATACACCTTAAATACTATTGAAGAAGTATGCATAGGTATGTTGTGACTGCATAAAATTTCGTAGAATGTGAATCGTTGCATTATTGAACTTAATAAATAATATTAGATTATTCGTATTTTTTGCATAAGTGAATCTAACAAATTAATCCTAATATATATATATATATATATATATATATATATATATATATATATATATATATATATATATATATATATATATATATATATATATATATATACGAGTAGGTTTGTGTATACGAAACGCAAAGAGTGCTAGCTCAATCAGTACCATAAAGATAGAGCAAATATAGAATTGTCCCTGTCGGATATGCCTTTACAAAGAAAACACTAAAAGATTATGATAATAATATTATTGGCTTATATATTCAGCGATCTGGCAACCCTGTTACAAACAATGAACTTAAGGTAATTCCGCAGTTTTGCATTGCGCACTTTTACTGCGCACATCTTATAATTTAATTTCATCCGTTATACGTACGGTTTAAAACAAAATATCATTTTATGACAATTTTATGTTACTTCAAAACATCTTTGGTTACATTCGTGCAAGAATTACGTTAAAATCAATGTTTTCAAAAAAGGCATACAAAAGTGTAGCTAGGGTTCCCTGTGTCTGTGGTATATTTATTTACTTGTATTTCACGTTTTAATGCCACAATTCCCTAAAAAGATCGGTGACTCCCGTTTTTTAACTGATAATTTATTTCTTTAATGCATTTTACATATCCGAAATTAAAAGAAAAATCATTTCTGGATCTTGAAAAAAAATGCTTTATCAATGCATGTTCTCAAAGAAAGATATGTAAAGAAATGTGCAAAAGACAATTGTGGATCAGAATTGTACACGTTAGTAGTTTCATTTTGCTCAAAACACAATATTTTTTCCAAAATAATTACAAGATAGGTTTACTAAAGCAAAATCCGCTCTAAAAACGTCAATAAATATCGGGCTGTTGTGAGTTTACTGTTACTCGTAATGAGCGTCAAGATGGCGCCATATTGGGGTAAAGGTGGTATCGAGATGGTATATTGTGATTGTCATATCTTCTTAACGAGTTCGGTGACCCCGACTTTTTTTGTGATTTTACTTTAAGTATATCATAAACTCCATGCCTGGGAAGTTTCAGCACATTCTCATTTCGGGAACAATTACTGCGGAATTACCTTAATAGATTTAATTATAATATATAGGATTATATTTTTTACGGTAATGTGCATGGGGAACATAATACTCAATAATATATAATATCATAGTCTGAGTATGAAATTTTTATATATTTTTAAGAATGTCCAAGCAACACATATAAAGATACGTTTGGAAATGGAAAATGCACTATTTGTCCAAGGAATTCCGGCAGAAATCTTAAAGGACAAATTCAGTGCCTGTGTCAAGATGGCTTCTATCGCTTTCAAGGGGACAATTATACACATTCGTGTTATGGTGGGTGCAATATATTGTGGGCGACTTTTTTCTACAATCCTACTTTGTACTTCAGTTAAAATAACGATCTTCATGCAAGATGGCAGAAATACCAGTAATATAGTAATAACGAAGAGTCTCTCTATTAGTCAATATCTAGTACGTACACTGTACTAATAAAAAATCTAGGTTTTCTGGCTTTGAAACAAAACAGATGCCGTTGGCATTGCCATGAATCGTTCCTGTTAGCCTAAGAGAACCACTATTGGCTTACGAATATACTATAATATGAAAACTAAACGCGTTGACATTTTCTTTTTTCATAGAAGTTCCATCGCCTGTCAGGGACGTCAAATTTATAGACAAAACTGAAACCTCGATTACGTTGCTATGGAAACCGCCACTGCCGACCAAGCAGGGTTTGCTATATGACATAAAATGCAATAAATGTCCACCTGGCAGTGATAGTGGGTCGTGCGTAGAACCGTGTGGACACCAAGTAACATTTAAACCTTCCCAAAATAACCTTACGTATACGAGTGTAAACATACAAGGTCTCGATCAAGATATGGAATACCAGTTCGTAATTTATTCCAAGAATATGAACAGTGCACGCATCAATAGGACAAACTGGAAAAGCGCTGTGAAGAAAATTAAGACCGAAGCCGAAGGTATGCATGCTAGCTGTATTAGACACATGATGTTTTGGTGTTTAATAGATACGGCCACAGGGAAAGTTTCCTACTGTATCTCCAATAAACAGCGAATAAAAATTAGTTGGATCCTTTCAGTGGCGTAACGTTATATCAAGGGGCCCCCGGTTCAAAATTTTCGAAGCCCCCCCCCAGTAGAAGTGCCAAAGGCACGAGTCGGGCGCCGTATATGCACGAGTTTTCTAGAGGGTCCAGGGCATGGTCATCCAGAAAATTTTTTAATCTAGACTCTGTGAAATGCCATTTCCTGGACTTTGGGGAGAGACTTTACAGAATTCTGATGGTCATAAAACGACATTGTAACATATCAGAGGCCCCGGTCAATGTTTTTGCCCTATCGCCTAAGCCTGGGGGCCCCCATTGGGGTTGGGGGCCCCCGGGTTCACCCGGTCTGAGCCCATAGTAGTTACGCCACTGGATCCTTTGCAAAGAGATATTACTTGCCTGTCGTCCATTGTATGTATATATCTGAAACTCATTAGCCAACACTATTACTTTATTTTGCTCACATGCCAATACTGGATGGATACCCGCGATGCAGCCTATTAATTCATGCAGTCCTCATAGATATCTTATATACACTAGATAGCGCATCTTTTAGTAAAATTGAAGCCAAGAATATTTCAGCGGTTACTCCCATTTGAATAGATGGCGGCCATGTTGGAGTTTCCCACTCGCTAATAAACGCTTAAAAAACAACAATAACTTTCATCATTTGAATAGTTTGAAAATGTATTTGGATTAAGTTTAACTTAATGTTTAAGGTCGCTGTTTAAGAAATAGAAAATATACGAGTCTTCTCATTGCATGGGAATATCCTGAGTCTGCAATCACGGCTTCAATTTTTGAATTGCAGAATAATTAGATGCACTATCATATAGTGTATATAAGATATCTATGGCAGTCCTAGGACGGGATCAAAATTAATTCACCTCACTTTATATAAGTATGCGACTTATTAATTGTGTGAGATTTCTTCAAATCGGACAATTCGGGCTTTATCATGCAGATATCTAGTCTTTGCCGAATATAGTTCAGCCAGTAGTTCAGTTCCTGGGTTCGCCTCGGATAAAACAAATTGCACGCGCGCGATATCTGGTAAATTTCTATCAAATCCATACTACAGGATGTATATTTGTTACACTCACCCTGGTCTAAATAAGATTTCAGAATAGTATACACCAATTAAAGCATTACTAACTGCAAGTTGTAAACTTTTCCATTTATTTCATACCGCTATTATTTTTGAATTGTTATATTTGGATGTGTTTATCGCAGGAATATCCAAATCCGATGGTCTTCCTACAGCAGTTGTAATTGTTGTTCCAGTGGTTGTTATTATTATGATAATCATTATTGTTATTCTTGTAATTCGTTGGTTTAAGCGGTACGTCGTATAAGTTCTGTATTGATGCAGATTCCTTCCTTTACCTGCATGCATGCATATTAATATTAATACATTTGAATCTTAGTTATCTTTTTTTCTCATCTAGTCGCAAAACAAGCCAATTCAGAGCCAGTCAACGCCTACGTGGCGGAGGTTAGTTTTATTTTATGTCAGTGAGCTCCATATACATGTATATCTTTGGAATAGCTTTATTGTAATGAAAATAAGGAGTCTGCAATTAAGGCCAATATTACAGCTATAGTGTTATTTATTACAACATTTAGATGAATTAGATCTATCTCCAATGCCCGGTGTGAAGAATTATATTGATCCAACGACGTATGGCGATCCTGAGAGAGCGGTGTCGGAGTTTGCAAAAGAACTTGACAGGAATTTGATTAAATTTGAAGCCATTATTGGTGGAGGTACGTACTAAACATTGTGTTGTGTGAAACAAATATATCAAATGACAGCCAATTTATGACTACATTATTATGCGGCAGGACTATAGATGAAGTAAAGTAGGACCGTCATTAAAGCAGCACTTTCGATGCAACATTGGTAGACAAACCTCCGTACTTACGTCTATTTAATGTGTTCCCAGGGGAGTTTGGTGATGTTTACAAAGGGGAAATTAATACACATCGAAATCCTGGGCAACCAGCAACGAAAGTGGCAATTAAAACGCTGAAGGTAGTGTTTATGTTTGTTTGTCACATTTTAAAGAAAATTTTGTATTTGCATTTGCATGTTTCAAACAGAAAAGAACAGGATCTACGATAAGAACGAAGGCCAGCTGTGATCTCTCGACAACTACAGTAAATAATACCAATTGTTACACCTCCTTCACTAGGCGGGGGCATCACAAAAGGACCGAACAGACTTTCTCATTGAAGCGTCTATGATGGGGCAATTTAAGAATTTGAATGTAATAACTTTGGAAGGTGTTGTTACTAGAAGTAAGTGCAGGATAAATATTTACTTCTGTTTATACCGCTTTACCAGAGCTAGGGTGCAGAATCTTAATAAGTACTCGAGAGGTTGTGAGGATGGTTGCGAGAATGTTAGGTATCGCCATGCAAACATGCAAAGAACTTAATGTTAGGTTTGTTGTTTACCAATAAAGATAGTCATAGTGAAGATGGTACGTGACAATGATGATGAATAATTATGATCGTGATGATGACGAATGATCGTTGATGATATCAGATGAATGATGGTGATGAATGATGATGCTGATACTGATGAATGTTGATGGTTATGGTGATGGTGGTGATGGTGATGATGATGATGATGATGATGAACAATGATGATGAATAATGATGACAATGATGCCGATGATGAATGTTGATGATGATAATGAATAATGTTGTTGAATGCAATGATGATTGTGAAAATAATCAGTGATATGTATGGTTTTGATGATGTAGATGGTGATGATGAGAATGAATAGTAACGGACCATGAAAGCGATAAAGATTTGGTGTGAAAATAATCATAATGGTGGTGTTTTATGCTTTATTAATATGTTTAGCCACACCGTTACTCATTGTGACAGAATTTATGGAGAATGGATCTTTAGACAAATATTTAAAGGTAAAAATAAAATGAATACAATATACATCAATACTTACATCGTGCAATCAAACTCACAAATATTTTAATCCCCATATTGTCGTAGGAAAATGATGGAGTTTTGAATCCATTGGAACTGTTAGAAATGGCTCGGGGAGTTGCCAGTGGTATGGAATACTTGGCTAGGATAAATTTCGTACATAGGGTAATTAAATTAAAGAATATTGTATTTTTCCCACATAGTAAAAATTTGTTTCTTATTACTCTCCCAGGAAATGTTTTCTTAAAACGTTAGGCCATTACCAGAGTTTATATGCATTTTAAAACATTGGTGTTTCTTTTCGTTTAAGGATTTGGCCGCCAGAAATATCTTAGTTAATGCCGAACGTTCTTGTAAAGTGGCTGACTTTGGCCTTTCCAGAGATCTTGACAATACTGAGGACTCCGAATATGAATCACAGGTCAGTGGTCCCATTGTATGACAGGTCATCTGATGAATAAAAGAAATAAGTCAAATTAAAGAATGAGTGCCTGATGCCTTTGAGAAATTTGGAGAATTTGAAAAGAAACAAAAGAAAATGAAATATTCTAACTATTATTATATTTAAGGTATATACTACAGGGTGTCCCAAAAAAGCCCGAAAACTATTGAAATAAATGTATTGTTAGAATTCTAATGCCTCAGCACTCTGCTGAACCCCCACGTGCGTCAAAGCTTGACGTACGCAAATTTTACTATGCACAAAGAAACCGTTTAAGAAGGTGTTTTAAATTCCCAAGAGCAGAAAATCGTGCGCCGCGAGATATTTTAATTTCTTAATAAGTCAATATTTAACATATGCACCTAATATTGTCAATATTTTACGTATATTTGCATTCAGCTTAGTGCTAGGACATTCAAATTTTAACAATACGTTATTTCAAAAGTTTTGCGTTTTTTGGGGACACCCTGTATAGCGTATAGAGTTTATATTTTTAGGGAGGCAAAATTCCTGTGCGGTGGACAGCTCCCGAAGCCATTACTTATCTTAAATTTTCAACAGCCAGTGATATCTGGAGTTATGGTATTTTACTTTGGGAAATAATGTCCTTTGCTGAAAGACCTTATCGGAATTGGCGCAACGCAGAAGTGAGTATGCGATGTATTCTTCGTAGAAAGCAGCGGCTTTATGAAGCACTGATCTCATAGATATTCACAGATTACTTTTGTGTGGTTTATAGGTTATGGAAAGGGTCGCCGAAGGATATAGACTGCCCCCGCCAATGGTTAGGACTTCATATAATATTACCTTAAATGATTAATTATGTAAACTTTCGTAATTAATGCACAAGATATCAAATTTAAATTAAGTTAAAGTCGATTGAAGAGAACTAGTCCAATTCTATTTTTACGATATAATATTAGCCTACTTACTGAAGTTGATGACTGAGAGGCGTTGTTAACCGTTATTCAATATAAATATTGTGTTTAGAATTGTCCTATAATAGTACATCAATTAATGAAAGAATGCTGGGTGTCAGACAGAACGAAACGACCACCATTCAAAGAAATTGTGAGAATAATTGACGAATGGATCAAATATCCCGAAAAACTTGAAGACTATATGAATGTGAAAAGGTACGATTAATGTGAAATGTAAAAATGGTCAAATACTTTTTAATTTCTACAAGCTGGTCAGGTACTCATCAATCATCAGACATATTTTGTCCTCCTGAAAAACGTGGTGATTGATGTTTATATGCCACACGTCTAAGAAACGTTTTCAACCGTAAGGATACTTTCTTAGAATTGAGCCATTAGACAACTCAACATTCATTTCAGTAAAAGATTGGCTAGAGACTATTGAGATGGGGATGTATGCCAGTAATTTTTCCCAGGCGGGATACGAAGAACTGTCTGATGTTGCTCAACTTACCGAAGATGAACTTTTAAAGAAAATTACGTTGGTGGGACATCGGCATAAAATGTATCGGAAGATTAAAGAAATGAGTGAGGACATGAAGTTGAAACAAGAACAGTCGGTGAGAATTTGATGACAAGGCAGGATCATTGGAAAGTCTCGAAAGGTGGTAATGAACAAAACAAAGCTTCCCCTTAGCGCGAACGTTACTGCAAATTCTAGCTGCAGATTCTGGCTAAACTAAACTAGTGTTATATGATAATCAGCTAGCTGAAGTAAACACAGTGGATAGTTATAAAAAACAACAATAGTTTAATAGTCTACAGTGAGTAATAACTTGCAAGTTGCAAGGAACGTCAATATACAATACTCTCTAGATAGACAACAGCTAGGCGGAAGACATTCAGTAAATGTGCGAAAAACAGACAGTTCTAGTTAGGTTCGAAGCCGTTCAGACTTCAGTGGTAAAAAATGGAAGAACCGAATAGCAAATAACAATAAAAATAAAGGACACTCGGGGACTGCAGGACTGCATGCATACCTCCGACAAACTTCTGCTAATTTCTCTAACTTCCAATTGTCACAAAATTTAAACAGTTTTTTTTGGGGGGGGCAATATGTCCATTAGTTCGTATTAATACGTTTGACATTTTTTTGAGTTTTAGGTTGTCGTACTGACAGACACACATGCATACAGTTATTTCAGTTAAGGTTGTCCCCGAGCAAAGCGGAAAAGTCGAATACGAGCGCGAAAGGTTTGTTGGGAATCGTTAAAAAATTCATTAATTTTTACTGCGATTTCCAGCAAGCCTTCGTGCTCGTATTCGACTTTTCCGCTTTGCTCGGGGACAACCTTAATTGAAATGAACTGTATACAGACAGATACACACATACAAACGCGGATCAGTAAAAAAATAACAAAGTCAATAGCTAGCAGGCTGCCCATTTAGTGAGGGAACGGATAACATCGCACGCGGCACTTTGTCAAATTTGGCCACTATGCATTTCAACCTCGCGTCCCCAGGCCTTTGAAAAAAGTTCCCGCTAATTCAGTTCTGCTCTTATGACCCCAGGAAATCAATATCCTCGGTCGGTCAGGAACAGGAAAGCGATAGTTGAGCAACGCTGGCGATTCGCGTGGTTTTGAACGGCTTAAAATTTCATGAGTCGATTTTGATCTAGAAATGTTTGAATAGCAACCGAACGAATATAACTGGTATGTGTTTATAGCATATATAGACGTACGAGACAGGGGGCAAAATCCCACCCCAAGAATGTAGAAAACCATGGAAACTCGGCTTGGAAAAATCAAGAATATTCAGGGAAATACATCCCAAAATATGTTGAAATGGGCTAATTTCATTACAACTTCCATAAAAATTCAGGCAAACGTTTATTTTCGTCTCGATGTCTTGGGGCTTGGTTGTTCTGTTATCAATATTCTTCAATATTTGCTATAACTTGAGCGTGTTGAATATCACTTCTACAAAGTCACTTTGCGCTGCTACTCCAATTGGACGTCTTTAAATATAATGAGTAACGGTGTAATGCACGCATGCTGGGTGTTGTTTGCACATTATTACTAGTCTATGGCGATGTTTGCTTGTATCATAAAACGTTCGTTTGTCACGCGTTAAAGTAAATGAATAAAAACTTTTAGTACGATTAAAAAGGGGTCACTTTTATAGTGATAAACTTCGCTTGTATAAACATCGCGATTTCGCTTCCGTATAATTTCTAACAGTTTAAACTGAGTAGTTAACATTGGGTATACAGCCCCGTTTTCGGGGTTGAGACATCGGCTTTACTGCAATATGA